GGGGGGGGTTTGAAGCAGTAGGAGAAAAAAAGAAGAGGAAATTGAGTTTAAAGACGTAGAGAAGTGAAGTGCAGAGCCAGTGGAAAGAGTTGAAGCGGGTGATTGATGGATCGATAAACAGACAATGGACCGGCAGTCAAAGAGATAATTATATAATATTGATGGAGCAGGAAAAGTCGACGGACGGACTGACGGGCAAAAACAAAGACAGATATTGCCATCCACTGATGAAAGGTGTATTTTTTTTTAAAAAGTCAGTTTCATTTTGTTGCTGTAACGATCAAAACGTGTATTACCTGAAAGCTGTGAAGGCGACGCATAGGTTCATGGAGAAGGGATACACCTCTCGACCAAAGACCCACAACTGAGCGGGCAGTATCACCCCTGTGAGGATGGGGGTGGGGGTGGGGATGAGTAGAATCTTTCTTTAGCAGCCATCTTTTCACATGTAGCTTGAATTTGAAATGAGATTCAAAGGTGCGATTTCCTCTGAAGATTCATAAGTTTTGGCTAAAATGATTGATGATCCACATACTTTTTTTGTGTGTTTTATTTAATTTTCGTAGTGCAAACAAAATGTTATGCAGGGTCAGAATATGTGTTGTCTGCTCCTTCTATTTCGGTGTCGATGTTGTTTTGATGTTGTTGCAATGTTTGACTAAGTATCAATCCTCATGGAGTATGGCTGAATAACAGAATTTAATTTCCCATGAGCCAGATTTGAAATTAAAATAAACCACCCCAAAAAATTGCGTAGGTGGTTTAGTGGTTAGGGTGTTTGACTCGCAACCGAAAGGTCAGGGGTGCGAACGTCGCCAGAGACCTGTCGTTGCGTCCTTGGAAAAAGCATTTTTCATGAATTTTCCTCTCTGCACCCAGGTTGGAATGGATACCTTGTTATAGACGGGAAAAGATCGTGTCGGTTTGCTAGTGTTTGAGTACTCAATAGGCTGCTTGCACCGTATCCGTCCAGAGAAGCTAAGAATGTTTCTTTATGTTTTAAGGTCTGCTAGGGTAATAATATAAGTTGTGAAACACATAGAGCTTGCTGTTAAGTGAGAATATACGTTATACAAATGCTATTTTATTAAACAGTGGCGTTCAATAAAAACTTTAAAATGTATTCACCTATTCATTTTGTAAAAGCCTTGCACTACCCACTCATGCAACAAACCATTTTCTAGCTAAAAGTATCTGACATCTACTATGAGGGTCACCCTCGATACGGCCACTCAACATGAGCTTTTGAGGATCAGCCTTGATAAAATGTTGTAAAAATCAGAAAAACGTAAAATTGTGTTTTGTGTTTGTATTGGGGAGCATCAACACAAGTGGAATGGATATGTATTGCGTATCATTATATGAACAGAGAATGTACAGTAAATGTACAGTATTTTACTTAGGTCGTTCAAAAAGGTTTGCCTCCTCTCCAATAACTTCTAAACTATTCAAGATATCTTCATGAAATTTGTACACAATTGACTTTCAATATGTATATTCTCAAACCCAGAAAACAGAATTATGCTATGATGTCACACCTTTATGCTATTGCTGTTTACATCAAGGAAGCTAAGGTACATTGTCGCCGAGAAAATGACGTCCATCAAACCTATGAATGTGCGCTTAAAGCAAAGAGCTGTTATTGAGTTCTTTACTGCAGAGGGAGCTGCACCCATTGATATTCACAAGCGAATGAAGCTTGTCTATGGCAAAGCATGTGTAGATGTAAGTACTATTCGAAGATGGGCAAAGGGGTTCGCTGAAAACCAGTCCACCAGAGACACATTTCCATAATCAAGCTCATTGTGGTCGTCCCAACTCTGCCAGTGATGTTCAATACCAGGAGAGAGTGG